ACTTTCATCTCAATTATTAATTCTACTTCTCTCATAATAATAATCAAAAATGATAATATTTGCTTATTTTTATCAATATCAATTCTGAGATTCCAACAATTGCAAAGCTCTAAAAAATCAAAAATTTTTACAAAGAGTGGAGTAATGATTAATGCTTGTATAAATAACTTTTCTTTTCCACAGCTTAAAGGGTGTTCTCCATTGGAATAATTTGAAATAGTACTTCAACTAAAAATGTTAGTTTTGTGATGACTGAGATGTCCTATTACAGTAAACTTGCCTTTAAATGCAATAACGCAATCAAAAATAGCACATTATTACATATTTGTGAAATTGCTTTAATAAGCTCAACTAACAAAATACCAGTATTTGCAATCGTGTCAAGCAAATAGGAAATGGTTAATTGCAATAACTTTAATTTAAAGTTCAAAAAAAAACCTCTTGTGCCATCAGACTAATAATTAGATATTGCTTTAATCAATCGAAACTTTAATAATGCAAACCTTCACTAGAAAATATGATTTAGAGTTGATGCTATTGAATAGTGTAAATATTAAATAAATATTGGCTAATTTATCAAATGGTTGGGTTAGAAAATATAACTTAAATAGATTTTGTTCAAATTTTACAAGCCTGATAAGGTTTAAAAGAGTCAAATAGTGAACATAAAGTAGTATAAGAAGACTGCATGGCTAAACTGTCATAATATATAAGGGGGATATCAAGAATGCTAGAGAATAACACTTCAACAGAGTCATTATTACAAGTTAAATAATTTTATAGAACGTGTTTTATAATGTTATATGCATGAAGGGTTGCATCAATTGTACGTCAAAAAGGGTTTAGTTTTTACTATCTTAACGCAACCTTCTATATTACTATAGTACTATGGTTATGGCTTTCGAAAAAGGAGATTGGCATAGGCATTGGCACTAATTTGAAAAACAAAAATATAACTCACCCAACCATCTTCCTATCGTTATTTAGAGGGTTACGTTAAGATAGTAAAAACCAAACCCTTTTGACGTATTTGATTGAGATGGAAGATAAATTCTATGTGAATTTCATAAAAAACAAGGGGAATCAAACAGAATAGTCAAATACTGATTTAGAAAATTAGTCTCAATTATTATTGGCAAAAGTTAGATGATAAGAATGTTTAGAGAATAAGGTTTTGAAAATATTAGGATGAGAGATACTTCCTTAATTGGTGGAAATTTGTAAGTTGCATTTTAAATGGATCAAATTTGATATTTTTGATATTAATGGCTTGAACTTGAATGAACCTCAATTGTTCAATTGTAAATGGAAAAACATCAAAATACATGAGTTAAATAAATTAGAAGGTCATTCATATGCAGTTTTTTCAGTCAATTTCTCTCCTGATGGTACTAAATTAGCGTCTAATAGTTAAGAATATTATCTATCCGTTTATGTGATGTTGATATAAGGAGTATTGAATGAACAATAAATTTCACTTATCTATCATGAAAAGCAAAAAAAAAATAGTAAGCTTCAAAATTTTTTTTGCTCATTTTGGGCTTCGCCTAAATGATCAAATGATGCCGAAGTCAAGTGGCCTATGGCCACTGCTGAGGAGGGCAGGTGGGTGGGGTGAAACAAGGTAGAGAAATGATACTATTTTAGATACAATAGCAGGGGTACATAGGGGGTAGCCAAACCCCCTACGCCACCAGAGATAAAATGGAAGAATAGAAAGTAAATGAGAAAAATGTAGTGGGAAGATGGAGGAGAAAAATTTTCGAAATACTTGACAATTTAAGCAACACGGCTTACAAATTTTTTATTCTAATTATTTATAATTTGATTTATGCCAAAATGATAAGATTAAATACTTAAATACATATACATTTACTTCATCGATAGAAATTTAAGCTTTATTGTATATATATAAAACAATAATAATTATGGACAATTTCTTAATTTCATAACGAATGTTGTTAATTTTAAGATTGAACTGGTGTGATGAACATTAATTCTTAAAATGGTGAGCCACTATAAAGTATAAAGAAATCCTACCCATTACGCTGAAAATATAATTTAATAATACTAAAATAAAATTGTGTCATTATTTGCCTGAAACGGAATACCTTAGAAAAACAAGTAATTCCCTATCTTAAGAAATGAAGATCTAGAAATCAAACAAGAAAAAGATATTATTTAAAAAAGCATTAAAAATTGTTTAAAATTATATTTGTAATGTTCTTAATGAATACTTCAATTTCACTTTTGCTATAAGTCTTTTAAAAAGCAACTTCCTTTTGATTGTAATAAAGGTCTTAAATCAATCCCTTAATGATTTATGAATTGTCCTTATAAGATAGGTGTTCCTGATGCTTCAAACAAAGGATTCTAACATATTCTAAGTATTGTACAATCAGGATTAACTAAATAAAAATTAATAACAAATACCATTTGGCAATAAGGAGTTATTCTGAAATTGGTATTTTAAACTGGGCAAGCAGATCTTTGTAGCTATTAATCTGATTAGAGTATTTCTTTTGATGTTTTTAAATT